ATGAGTATATAGGCAACACAAAATGACTTGGTGTGTTTCTCTTTTTTTGGAGGGTGGTGGCACAGGTTGGGGGTTGGCATGGGAGGAATAGGAAATTAGTGTGATGGGGTGCATTATATAAAATAGCCTACCACAGAGAGCCTCTGAAAGACTCTGCCCTGCAGAGTATCAAAGCAGGTACTGAGATTCATAGCCAAGCTTTGGGCAGAGTGCAGGGAATCTTATGAAAAAAGGGGGAGATAGAAATACCTGGAGGGGACAGGAGCTCTACAAGGAGAGCAACAGAACCAAAAAATCTGGAGACAGGGGTCTTTTCTGAGACTGATACTCCAACCAAGGACCATTCATGGAGATAACCTAGAACCCTTGCTCAGATATAGCCCATGGCAGTTCAGTGTCCAAGTGGGTTCCCTATTAATGGGAACAGGGACTGTCTCTAACATAAACTGATTGGCCTGCTCTTTGATCACCTCCCCCTCAGGGGGGTGCAGCCTTACCAGGCCACAGAGGAAGATAATGCATCCACTCCTGATGAGACCTGATAGACTAGGATTAGATGGAAGGGGAGGAGGACCTCCCCTATCAGTGAAATGGGAGAAGGGTATGGGTGGAGAAGAGGGAAGGAGGGTGGGATTGGGAGGGGAAGAGAGATGGAGCTACAGGTGGCATACAAAGTGAATAAACTATAATTAATAAAAATAAAATATAATTTTTTAAAATTTCCAAATATTAACAAAAATATTATATTGGGGAAAATATGTAAGTTCTTAACTACCGATCTTGTGCTATGTCATTCTGCCTGGTGCCTCACTTCTAGCCTGTCACAATGGTCATAGACTCTAACCTTATGGAACCAGGTGCCCCAAATTAAACACTTTCTTTTATAAGTTGTATTGGTCATAGTGTCTTATGATAGCAATGAAAAAGTATCTAAGACAAAAATTTAACAACATCCTGACCATGATTCTTTCCTCATTTAGCATATAAAAATTTTTCAGATTAGGAGCTATTTGGTATGCTGGATGCCACATTCAACAAATTTCCTGAGGAAAACAAAGAAACTGGCAAACAATCAACTGGCCTTTTGGCAAGGGCCAGTTGTGCTGACAATACCTAGCCCATAATCTATGACTTGTGTGAAAAAAAAAAAAAAAGAAAAAAGCATAATTTTCCACCCACTGTTAGAAACCAGTGTTTCTTCTGTCTTTGCATGACATTGATTTATAAACTTCTCACAATTGCATTCTCACATTTCACCAATGTTCCTGCAGTTCTCAGGCCAACAGACTTTACTAACCCTCAGATAATAAAAGCCTGGCAGCATCGCCCTAGATTCTAAGAGGGGCCTCCTTCCCCTCTCCTCTAAAGCACACTGCATATACCTGGAATTCTGAGATCTGAGCTCTCTAAGCCTCTTGTCAGAAAGAAGGAAACTATATTCAGAGGGCTGATTGAGTGCTGGGAACAGGTGGCCTTCTGTAGGATGAGGTCATCCTCCACACAGGCCAAACCCTATGCGGCCAGTCAGTCTATCGTGTAAGCCCAGAGGCCTCAAGCGTTCATCTGAGCCTCTTTCCTCGGGACAGAGCTGCAGAAACAAAGAAAACAAATCTGTGCTTCTACTTCTGAAGTCTGGATTCTGCTTTGTTTCTTCTTCGTACACGAGTATCTGGCTTTTCTTTCCAGTCATGTTTTGGCCAATGCATATTGCATAACTACTCATTTGGGCAGAGGTTTTTCTGAATTCTCTGACATTATCATTAATATTCCTAATGATCTGACTGGCTCTCCTGAACCTCTGCTTGTAGATTTTTATATGCCATTATTTTAAAGTTGAAATGACTGCTTACTAAATAGACAAATCATTATCATTATCCATGTGTAAGTATGGGCTGGCCACAAGATATTCATTGAGCCATGAATACTCATCTGTGATGTTGGCAATGCAAGAGGGTGGGGGAAATGGTAGAAAAGAAAAGGTTCTGAATGGGATACTTTTAGGCTTCTGGCCTTTAAAACATTTATGAATAAGTGAAAATACAGGTGAACAAGCACATTCCATATTGGATATGAAGCACACTTGTTTAAGGAAATGAAGGTTTGTTTAGATTTTTCCCTCCTTTCCATAATCAGAAGCTACACAGAGAAAAACCTCATAGAACTGCCAGAATTGAAAAGCAGATAATAATCATGTTGTGATGGAGGGAGGCAGGTTTTAGTTCTAGGGTGAAGGTAGGGGATGAGAATAGATAAAGACTCATGTTAGGTAACTCTCACGATAGATAGATAGATAGATAGATAGATAGATAGATAGATAGATAGATAGATAGATAGATAAAAGAGAAATGAACAAATAACCAGACTTTTTTGACTTCTTATGTTAATCATCTTTTCTTTTCCTCCTTTTCTCAAAAATGAAACTAGAGGAGTTGAGTTCTGGGCATGTGAGTATTCTAGAAAGAATCAAGCCAAATGCAGGCAAGAGTGCTAAATCTGACTGCCAGGAGAGAATAAGGAACTGTGATCTAATGAGAAACTCTCGATCTAAGCTATAATAATAATAATAATAATAATAATAATAATAATAATAATAATAATAATGTGATAGTAACAACAACAAATATGTGGCAGAAGAAAAAAAACACAGTTTATGTTTGTCATTTATGGGTGTGTACCAACTTATGAACTAATTGTGCTTTGTGAAGCCCATCATTCTATTGGAAACAATGACTTAAGGAGAGTGAGGAGGAGTAAACAATTGGCTGGCTGCTTTCACAAAAGTCTAGTGAACTTTTTTTTTAAGTTAAAAAAGCTGAGAAAGTGAATCATCTTGCCCAAGATTTTTCTAAGAGTTGGGAATAGAAGCTGATCAAGGGATTTCCCCTCAAAGGACCTAATACTACGGTATAATGACAGTATGATGCAGAGGGGAGAGGGCAAGGTGCCAAAGTGACAGGGAGGAAGAAGAAGACCACATGAGGTTGGTAGAGTGGAAACAGTCCTATAACAGGGAGCAGAAGCAGGCCAGGATCTTATCCTGCAGGCAGGAAACAACGCACGTGCACATTGAGGGAGGGGGTGCCTTTTATTGCCCAGGACAAGAGTGTACAAGGAGGAAAATGACACTAGATGGAGTCAACGAGCTCTTCCCCCAAAATTTTAGCATTCTTTAAAAATTTTTAAATACATTTTTGACATCTGTTTGCTTACTATTTGTTTATTTTATTTATTTATTTATTTATTTATTTATTTATTTATTTATTTATTTATTTGTGTGTGTGCATTCATAGGTGTGGTCAGAGAACAACCTACAGAACTTGTTTCTCTCTTTTCACAGAGTGGTTTCCAGGCTTTGAACTCAGCTCCTCTGGCTTGGCAGCAAATGCCTTTACCAGATAGTAAAGAAATGCTACTGAGGAGGAGTAGTAATAATAATAATAATAATAATAATAATAATAATAATAATAATAATAATGTGATATTAACTCAACTCAACAGAATGTCTTTTTTCTGATTTTTGGCTTTTTGTTTGTTTGTTTTTAGATCCTCCCCACTGGTTTCTCAACCAAGAATCCATTAATTTATGTGACAAATGTTTAGTCTATTTTGTGCTGGTTGCTGCCCCAGGTCGTATGGCTAAGTAGGGAATAAAACAGAAAGGAGGCCTTTTCCAGGAGGCCTTTCTAGCTTATGAGATAGGTCAATATCAAGCAATTAAACATAACTTCTGATCCTAAGTGCTGTGAAAAAAAATACGATGCAGTAATGTTATAAGCTATCTTCGATATCCCTCAGAAACTGGGTAGTTTAGTCGAGAGAAGAGAGACCTTAAAAAAAGCTATGCAAAGAATTAGGGGACTGAGATGTCAGCACAGGACCCTGGGCTAGATCAAGCCTAGGACAGCTAAAAATGGGGCAGCCTCTGGGGCTGATTCCAAGAGCACGGAGGCACAAATGATCTGAGGCCAGCAGAACTGGGCCTGTCACAACTTGAAGCGTGGCATATCTTTATTCAACAAGTACTTTCTAAGCATCTACTGTGTGCAGGACATTGTCCAGAACACAAAATGAAAACGAGAAACCTCTCACTCAGTGGTTCTTGACCTTCCTAATGCTGAGACCTTTTAGTACAGTTCCTCATATCGTGGTGACCCCCAACCATAAAATTATTTTTCTTGCTGCTTTATAACCGTAAGTTTGCTACTGTTCTAATAGGAATGTAAATACTCGTGTTTTCTGATGATCTTAAGTGAAAGGGTTGTTCCATCCCCAGGTTGATAGCCGCTGCTCTAGCTGAAGGATGTGTGTGTGTGTGTGTGTGTGTGTGTGTGTGTGTGTGCGCGCGCTTAAAGGAAATTAAAAGTTCTGGAAGGATGACAGATGCCTCTCAATTTTATTACATGCCAGGACCTACTGTAGACAAAACCGCAATGCAGGTATGTGGGGTGGGAGGCTTTCTGGGAACAGTCATCTCAAACAATTCCCTGAAGAAGACCTGGGACCCTTTAGAGCTGTCAGCTGCCTTTCTCTCCTAGCTGGGTCAGGTCTCCGCAGAGGTGAGTCACCTAGCCCACCTTTCCCAGACGGTGGTCCTTTTCAGGCTAGGTCGGGTGGGGCACGGCCACAGGAATCCCCCCGCCTAAAACTTGGCTCAGAAAACCCAGACAGGGGAGGCCCAAGCCCAGGCTCCGTTTAGCACCTGATTCACCCAGGGAGTCAAAGCCTGAGACTCTGCCGGTAATTAGCACTAGGGAGCCCCAGGGGAAAACGCCTTTGGGGACTTGGGGACCCCCTACCGCAGCGCCCGCCTCCGCCCCCGGTGCGCGTGCGCGAACTGCAGTCCCTCCCCCCCCCCCGGTGCGCGTGCGCGCTGGGCGTCCGGCCGCGGGGGCGAAGGCCGCTCTCCCCCGACGTGCGCAGAACCCGGCGGCCATGCCGTGTCCGCGGCGGAGCGCGCTGCGAGCGCCGCCCTGGCGCCGCCTCCCGCCGCCCCGCCCGCGCGTCCGAACGCGCGCCGTCTCCTCCCGCGAGCGCGGAGCGGCGAGCGCGGCGCGGCCATGGGGAGTGGGATGAGCCAGGTAACGTCCGGGCCCGGCCGCCCCCTCCTTCTGCGGCTTCCGCCGCCAGGCTCGGCCCGCACTGCTTGCCCTTTTGAGAGTCTGGACCCGTGCTGGATGTGGTCTGTCTCCCTCCCCTCAGACCGGGCCTCTTGACGCCTGCCACCCACAGCATTGGTGAACCGGGCCAGATGGGCGGCTTCTGTAATTTCCTCTTTTCCCCAGATTTGTGTGCGCGTGCACAGAGAAGCCGCCCTGGTGGGGAAGTTCACGGAGACATTAGAACTGACCTGGCTTTTCGGTGTCAGGAGCTGGTTGATTGACCCTAGATTGTGGGGCTTCCGTAGGGCAACCTGTTGGCTGGCTGTTGAACCCACTAGGCCTTTTAGAAACATCTGTCTTTGTCCCTGTCGTGGTCCAAACCCTCTGGGCCAGTTTCCACACCCCACCCCATCATTCTCCCTAAGCTGGGCATGGTCTGGCGGTGACTGTCATCTGGGGTCTGTTTGCGTCACCCTGAAGGTTAAAGAGCTTGCTGTTTCAAAGGGAAATCTTACCACGGTTTTAGATGTCTGGGACTAAGACAAGTACTTCTGTTCAAGCATTTTAAATAGTCCGGGCTTTGGTTAGCTTCTGGCATCATGTCCGTCCGACCCCTCCCCCCCCACCTCGTCTCCATGTCATGTTTGTGGGATCTAATGGTGTGGCTTGCTTTCTCCTTTTCTTTCCTTCACCCTTTTACATTTGTACCTGCTTTGCGGTGAGGAGCTGTTGCAGTGGTTTAGTTACTTCCACAGGAATGACCATTGAATCAGGGATCCAAGATAGGGAAAGGGAACATGTAGTTGATGGAATCCTGCATGCTTTTTGCACAGACTTCACGCATTTGTGTGTTGTGAGTTTTGTGTGTTCGTGACTAGGATTTAATTTTATTATTATTATTTTGCCAGTGATCAAATTTGAAACAAACACCCTTTATTGGTTGTGTTATGCTCTCATTAGCACGGGGATCCGCCAGCACTATGAGCATTCTGCTTTTAGAATTTAGACCAGTGGGCTTGGGGGCTCTATTTGCCTTCCCCCTGACTATGGTCGTGCCTCAGCGTCCCACTGGCATTCCTAGTTCGCCCCCACTGTTTACTGTCCCTTTCTGCATTTGGTGTCTAGTATTTTATATTATAATTGAAAGAATAGGTTTAGGTGTACAACTGATTGCCTAAGGGATGTTAATGTTACATTTCTCTGCAAAAGTGGTATTATTCATATCCACATTGTGCTATTTACCTTTTATAGTAATGGATTTCTTGACTGTTGTATCATAACTATCTTGAACAGACACAGTTTTCAGTGTAGAAATGGAAAACTGTATGTGCAGAGAGAAAACTATATATGTAGTATGGTTCAACACATACTGACTGTACTGTTCCTGGCCAGGTTTAGTGCTTTGGGGTCACAGAGGAAGGAAGCCAGTGCAGAGGAGAAGGAGGTCCATCGCAGGCCTCCTCAATGTAGGCCAGTGCTTGTCCAGTAGAAATATAACATGAACCAGACAGACATTTAAGTTTTTCCAGCGAAATTTCTTTGAAAATTTAGAACAGATGATGATCATTTAAGGAATGCTATTAAACTGAGTATATTTAAGATACTTCAATGTGTAACCAATAAGTACAGTTATTCATGTAATGCTTTTTCTGCAGTCTTAAGTTCTCATTAGATACTTGCTACATTTTAAGTGCTCAGGAGCCACTGTCTAATGGCCACTGCTGGCATCTCTGTACTCTGTGTATGGGAGAGGTGGGGGAGCTCACCAGGTAGAGGATGGAAGGCTCTAAAGATAAATTTCCAGAGTGTGGGGGAAAGTAGGTATAGACCTAAATGGTGCCTTCAGTCCAGGCAAAAGATCCCTGCCACAACAAACATGCTTATTCTAAGATCAGAGGGAATTACCCAGATTACAAGGCAAGACAGTGGCAAAGAAAATTGCTGGATGCTAGTAACCAAGAGCTTTAACCAGAGTTCTTCCATGAAATGTTGCCTAACTTGAAACAGCCCCCCCCCCCCCGACTTGCTGGGAAAAGAAAATAAAGAACAGTTTATTTACAGAGTCAGGAGAACATGCTGATGGTGGAGATGTGATTCCAAGAATATAAGAAAAAATGTTTACTGCCTTAGAATTTAAGATTGTCATTTGGGGGGTGTGTATCTGAGGTTCTTGGGGCAAAATTTCTCATCACCTATAAATTGGTCATCTTTGGCAAAGAATTATGGTCTGAACAATGTAAATTCCACTCTTTAAGGAGCCAGCAGTTTGTATCCTCTTGGTAGGTGTTTGTCCCAGTTTCCTCTGTTATTCTGAGGGTGAAAGGGAAAAGGCCCCGTGAATTCTGTCCAGTTAAAGATGAGAGAAAATAGCAGCAGACAGCAAGCAGTTGGGTCCATCCTTTTTTGAGCTTCATCTCATGTACCTGTACTTCACATGTCTAAGGAAGCCGGTTTCCTCTTTGTGCACATTGGGAAATGGAGATTTGGAGAGTGTAGGTAAGACAGCTACATCCTGATACAAGAGGTGGTAGAAATTGGGTTTCAGTCCCAGCTCCCATGGATTAGAGAGTGATGGATTTCTTTCCTTTGACTAAAGCTGCCAGTTTGTCTCAAGTAAATTCTGAAAATCTCTAAAGCTTACCAGAAAAGACCACCACAGATTAAGACTCATTGTAGAACAAAGTCAGTCTCTTCCTTCATGCTTGACATTGATAAAGGAGAAGTTAAAGGCAGGCAGCTATAACTGTCTTTTAAAATTATTTTGTGTGTAAGTCCCAAGTAGATGTTCAGAGCTGACGAGAATATGGTCACCAGTGAGTTTGTGGCTCCTGGGCTTTTGAGCAGTTCTTTGTTGCCTAAGAGTAACTTGCTTGTTCCTTAACAACCCGGAGAAGCAGTGCTGCTCATTCCGCGCCTGTTTTTCACCTGAGGCACACACAGCTTAAGGAACTGGGCACAGGAGCAATTACTCAGTTGTGCTTACTGCACAAGCATGAGTATCTTGAGTTCGAGCCTCAGCACCTGGGCCAGAAGCCAGACAAGGTAGCATGTGCTTAGAATCCCAGTCCCAGGGATATGGAGACAGGAGGACCTCTGGGGCTTGCTGCTTAGCCAGTCTGGCTAAACTGAGACCCTGTCTGAAAAAAAAAAAATAGGTACAGAGTAATTAAGGATAAGTAATTTAAGGATTACTGCAATACCCCATTATAAACAAAAACAAAGTCAAAAACAAAGAAAAAAATCCCTGTCTCTTTACTAAGCATGATGTCACAGAGAACTGCCCCCACATGCTCCTTGTGTGTGTGCTTTAGCTTGATCAGCCTAAGATAATGACAGGTGGCAGGAGTGTTGCCATTGTAGGGCAGGAAATGAGGACCCTCTGACATCTGTCCCCCAGTTAAAATTAGCTGCTTCTGCCCTCCACATGCACACATGTTCACATATCCCCATACACATATTGATATGTGTGCATGAACAAACATACACACACATGTGTGTACAAGGAACTGGCCAAATTACCCAGCCAGTGAGTGGCAGAGTCTACACTCAGCCAGTTGATCTGGCTTCACAACCACAGAGTAGAGGGCCTCCTGGTATGACTGAGGGACCATCCTAGGAAATGTTTCTGGTAATACTGGGACTAACTAAGTACACTGTTGTGTGTAAATATCATTTTTCTGTGGAGTCTATGAAGGCTAATTGACTGTTTTCTCAAGAGTCTGGAACAGTGTGCATTTTTAGAGTGAGGACATATACATAGACCCCTATCCTTACTGTCATCTGATTAGTCTTAAATACTGCAATACAAACAAAACAAAGCCAAAAGTAAACAAAGAAAAACCCCTGTCTCTTCATTAAGTATGATGTCACAGAACTGCCCTACATGTTCCTTGTGTGTGCGCCTTTAGCTTGATCAGCCTAAGGTAATGACTGGTGGCAGAAGTGTTGCCATTGTAGGGCAGGAAATGAGGACCCTCTGGCTCTGATATCTTTGTCCTCTAATAACTTCCAGTATTGTTTGGCTCATGAGCGTTCATCTGACTGGCCTGGTGGCCTCTTCCTCCTCTGTGCCTTTCCTGGCAGGCAAGGATATTGCCCTGGCAGTTAGTAGGAAGCCTGCTATCGCTTCAGTTGGCATTTTCCATGAGAATACCTTTTTGCTAAGAGGGCAGGGATACCAAAAAGCCAGATTTTCCCTTGCTGGATTCATAGATACTTAAAACTAAAAGACCTTCAATGGTTAGCATAATCCAGTGTCCATTTTCTCTAAAATGTTAGAATAATGCCTCTCCCAGTCACTACTCAGATTCTTGGGTGAAGTAAAGGAGAACTTTAGGTGACATTTTTACAAACTGTAAAGTGGCACATGAGCTCTGTGATCGATGTTCTTGGATCCATTCCCTGCTGAGCACAGTGATGGACTGGTCCTGGGTCTGGCTGACATCTGCTTTAGAATGACTATGAGAAGGTAAAGGAATGAAGAAAGGATTACCGTTCAAAGGAGAAACGATGCCCCCAGTGTAGAGAAGGGTTCCTCAGCAACTGCCCCATTGACATTTGGGCTGATATTTGTTTGCTGTATCATGGGGAGCTAAAAGGCTTTCCAGGCCTCTACCCAGTGGATGCCATTCGCATCTTTCCCTACACTGGCACCTTGCAGTATCCCCTGGGGAGCAAACATGTTCCCAGTTGCCAACCTCTAGTTTAGTGTTCTCTGTATCAGAATCCCCTGAAGCCTGTTTTACCTGGAACTGTGTATTTATCACAGAGTGGACTTAACCCTGTGGGAAGTACTGTTTCAGTATGAGAAAGTGCTGGAAGTCTCGTATTTTTGTCCTGGTAAAGACTGTCCATTGTTAGCAGGTAACTTGGCTATGTTTGTTATTAATTCCTGCATCTGTCCATTCACCATTCAAGTTATACTATTCCACACCTGCTGCTGCCAAGGCTCAGTGCAAGTTCCTGTAAGGGGTGGGGGA